TTCCTGAAGATGGTTATACAACATATACACAACCTACAGACCCATGTTGGTGCCCTGAGCCTGCATTATTAAAAACCACGCACATCGAGAAGTGAATTAATTTTTACATCTTTAATCTGACAAACACACTCTTGTCTATGAGAGGGATGCTTGCTTCTTTTCATTCAAAGTCACCTTGGCAGTCACTTAATTGCGTGTTTCTCAAAACCTCTGGAATCCAATTAACATATTTAATTCATTTCAGTACTTAAAGATGAAAGAAAAATTTCACTTCTCAACTTCATTCCTGCTTTCTTGAAACAGCAATAGTGTAATATATAGGGGCCAGGGATTTAGCTCAGTGGCACTGTGCCTGCCTCGCAAGCACAAGGTCCTGACTTCCATGCCCAGTACCAAAAAATAAAAAATAAAAAAATAGTGTAATACATAACATGTTACATCCTAGAGCTTTCTCGAGCACACTGGCCTCAATGACACAGTTAACTCTTACAGTGTTTCCCACAAAGCTAACTGCAGGCCTGACAGCTCCTGTGAGAAGAGCAGACCATCTGACGTGCTACTTGTGGAACAGTAGATTAAAGAAGCCTGTTAACATGTAGTTTAAAACTCAAAAGAAACTCTGAACAGCTGAAATGCCTTATAAATAGCACAGACCCAGAGGAAGTGCAAACGTCTGCACTGTGAATTGTAGATCTTAATTACCGACAATGGCTGGTACAGCAAGTAGCACAGAAAAAAGTGAAACAGTTGCACTGTTCATGGTTGGCAATAATTCTTCGGGAAAATATTTACTATCAATCAGTTATGAGAAAAGGGACTCTGTGCTCGTAAAACAGCACGTTGCTTCTCATACCAGGACCATTTTGTTTCAGCATAATCTGAATTTAAACAGCTTGTTTCCTGCGGATATAATTTTGGAAATAAATAAAACAAGTCTTCTATCAAAATCTGGAGTAAGTGGAAGCAACATCACATTTTTCTGTCTCAGTCAGTTTCAAAGAGATTATTAGTCTCAAGTAAAAAACAGTAACAACAAACAACAAAAAACAGAATCTTGATATAGGTCTAATGATGAGGTTTACTTTCCAAGTGTAGAGACAGAGCCCAAGAATCAAGGTAGAGGTACTCACACAGCTCATTTCTAACCATGCGTGTCTTTGGGAAAGTATGTGGGGATGCACAAGGGTAAACTACAGAATAAACTAAAACTTCAGCAGCACTTCATAGTCAATAAAAAAGAGAACATAAAAAATTAATTCAGTTCTTCAGTTTTCCAGTTACTTTCTTTATAACAACATCAGAGGCCGGGCATGGTGGCAGGTGCACACCATAATTCCAGCACACTGGAAGCTGAGGCAGGAGGATCGCTGCAAGTTTGAGACCAGCCTGGGCTACATATTGAGTTCTAGGGCAGTCTCAACTACATAGTGAGACCCTGTCTCAAAAAAAAAAAAAAAAAAAA